TACTATTCTTCTTCTTCTTCTTCTTCTTCTTCTTCTTCTTCTTCTTATTATTATTATTACTATTATTCTCACTTATTGCTCTTCCTGAAGGCTGGGCTCCAACTCGACCTTGGCGTGTTCCGGTTTTTGTTGCTTTTTTTATGTGTTTTCTTTTGTTGGGTTTTTTTGGGGGGGAGGGGGAGGTGGGTTTTTTTGTTTTGTTTTTATGGTGATTTCTCTTTTCTGTTTTGTTATAATTCTCTTTGATTGGTCTCCCCTTTAAGGCCCGGCTCCAACTCGACGGAGGCGTGTTCTGGCAACGGCGTGTGTGAGTGCAAACAGTGTATCTGTGAGCAGGGCTTCAGTGGGCCCTACTGTGAGTGTGACGACACGGACTGTGACGTGTTCCGGAGGGAGATCTGTGGCGGTGAGACACTCCTCTTCCGCCTCCTCCTCTTTCTCCTCCTCCTCTTCCTCTTCTTCCTCCTCCCCTGTCTTTCTTCCTCTTGCTTCTTCTCTTCCTCTTCTTCCTATGTCTCTCCTGTTTCTCTTCCCCTTGTTTCTTCTCCTCTTCTTCCTCCCCTGTTTTTCTTCCTCTTTTTCCTCCTATTTCTCTTCTTCCTCTTCTCCCCCCCCCCTGTCTTTATTCCTCTTCCCCTTCTTCCTCTTCGTCTTTCCTCCTCCGTGTCTCCTACTCTTGCTTTTCCTCTTCCTCCGTCTCCTCCTCTTCCTCCTCCCCAGTCTCTTCTCACTCTTCCTCCACTTCTCTTCTCTTCTTCTCTCTCCTCTTCTTCCTCTTCCCCCTCTTCCTCCTCTTCCTCCTCCACCATCTCTCCTTCTCCTCCTCCTATCCCCCTCCTCTTTCTCCTCTTCCTCCTTCCCTGTCTCTCCTCCTCCTCCTCCTCCCTCTCCTTCTCTTCCTCCTCCCCCTATTCCTCTTAATCCCCCCCTCCATCTGCTTTCCTTCCAGAATAGAGTGGATCGCAGCGTTCTCTACGCCAAAAGTAGAGGTTTTTTAAAAAGAAACACACTTTTTCATCTCAGACTTACAAAGCTCTATCAGACATTTTTTTGCGGTTTTGAGTTAATAAGACCATGAGGCCAGAAACCAAAATTAAATGCTCTATCTGCTCTGTGAGAATCGTAAGACTATAATTTGTGGTCGTCCTCTATGCCGGTGAGACACTTGACTATCTCATAACTACAAAGTTTTTTTCTGCGCAGTAGTACCAAAGATAGTACATAACAAGATGGTCCACTCACCGCAGGAAGTCCGCTCTTTGCTTCAGATGGCGCTGCAGTCTGTTTTGAAGCTCTCTTTCGTTTTTCCAGAAGAAGAATAGGAATAGCACATCCTTGCGTGCGCAGATCGCCTGCTGTTCATCAGCAGTTCGGGTTCGTTCAGTGCGGAGTTTTAGTTGTTGTTTTTTAAATTTTAATGACCTCTCGCCTTTCATTCTAACGTCAAATTAAAATAAGAAAACAATCACCCCTTCCTCCGGAAGAGGTTTTTTGTCAGC